AAAAAATTGCTTTTTGGCTATTTTTTCCCTTTGATAACTCACAACTCTCTCAATATACTATATTATTACCTCGAACATAATTTCCATCGAGTCTGTAAGGTCTATATAAAAACTTCACTGAAAAAAGCTTAGCATGCATGAAAAAAAAATAAAGTTTCCCATCTTGCACCCAAATGTACATGCAAGTTTCCACATATTCGGCGCCAAAACCATACAAAATCACTTTTTACAACAAAACTACCCTCACTGGGGCTTAGGGGACAATGAAATACAACTTTGGTACGAACTGACCATGGCTACACAACTTGTAGTTTTGATTATGTTCCAGCATTTAACGATTCACTTGATACGAAATTTTTCGGATATAAGCTTGCATGCAAGTTATAACTTTGTTTTTAATCATAGTACGCGTGACAAAATTTTGCTACCCTGCCTTAATGAAATGCAAACAAACATGGAGATTTTCACATTCGTAATAAGGATGTTAGAATTTCTTCTAAGAAACACTGCAGAACATAATGAACATTTGAAATAACGTCGTATTCACTCATATGGGAAATTCAAAGTGCTTTTTAAGGTAATTGTTCGGTTATTTGTTTACATGTCATTTAGCCAGGGTAGTAACATTTCGTCAGGCGTACTATGATTAAAATCAGTGATGCAAGCTGATCTCAGAACAATTTCGCAGCAAGTGAATCGTTAAACACTGAAATATTGTCAAAACCTAGGTCAAAACTACAAGTTGTGCAGTCAAAACTACAAGTTGTGCAGCCAAACTGCCAAACTGGAACTTTGATTATTTGAAGTAACACAACTCCTACACTTATAGAATTCCACACATTTTTATTGACGTATTTCCATGTAAAATTCCACATGTTTTTCATGTGACACATAAACAGAGTCCACCCAGAAGCACACAAGAAATATATGAGTCAAATGAATAGTATATGTGGTTACACATAGCTTTTATGTGTACACATATTAAGTATGTGTCCGACACATAAGTATCATTTGTTGATCACATTGCACAAATTCATGTGTGGGACACATGAAAACAATCTTTGAAACTTTATCAGTGTAGTAATTTTGCTAGTAGTTCATCTTTGATCTGATCCAGGGATTGCCCTTTTCTTTTGCGCTTATGTGCCATGGCGCGGCGTAAGACTTTTTTTTTTTAAACGACCTCCAGAATCTAAAGGATCGAAGAGGAATTTTCCAAATCGATATCCAAGCAGGATTACCTCGGGTACACGGATAGAAATCTCCTTATACCTTTTGGCAAATTTCTATTGCTGATTATTCATAAAAATGTATAAGTCAACTAATAAGCAGACGCCTTGCAAAAAGTTAATGAAGATCGTGTGTCAAATGAAATGTATAAGCGGTCACACATACCTTTTATGCATTCTTATAGGATCTGTGTGGTTTGTCTTATGGAATGTATAAGGCTCATGTTTTGGCAAAAATGTATAAGTGAAACACATAAATAAAATAATTGATTTTCGTTTCGTGTAACAAGGATCGCGAAACAAGGATCGAAGAGGAATAAAGTCGAACAAGGTAGAAAATTTGCAGGTATATTGGTGCACTGAAAAGTGCTGTTTAAATTTGTTGTAGCTTTAGGTAGCAGTAACCAGTGCTGAGATTTGTCATTGTCATTGACAGACTTTTGCGCGATATTGACAAAATTGTTTTTCACATAGTCAATGATAGACTTGATCCTCAAAAAAATCTTTGTCAAAATCTCATTCATTTTTTCGTCAATGACAAAGATTCACCTGGTAACAGAAAGTGTAATTTCTTGCATTCTGAGACACATTATTGTTATCCAAGCGGTTCAGGACGTAGATGCTTATTCACTTTAATGGCTCCATGTAATTGTTTTGCTCAAGCCATTTAATTTCATTTCAAATTTAGCTAATAAACAAATCAGCACATGTTCGTCACTGACTAAAATGCTACTGACAATTGACATGGTTTGCCTTGACGATGACTGTTAGCTCAAACGAGTGACCAAAGCAGAATTTTGAGTATCACCGTGTATTGTCGAAATTTTGCAGCACTGGCAGTAACACTTCCTTCAGCAAAAAGCAAATAGATCCGCACGGCAAGAGAGCACGATGCGGAGCCATGTCCCACTTGTTTTGATTTCGTCCCACATGACAGCATTCGGAAATGCAGCACGCGGAATTAGGCACAGGCAGGGGCACAGGTATAAAAATCAGCGTCCTTAATCCGCGTATAAGATTATCTATTGTATTTCACTTTATATGTATGGAGGTAGCTATTTAAATAATCGTCCAAATACATAAAACATTCCTGTCTCAAAATGGATCTGTGCCATATTGCAAAAAGAGTAACGACTTTGAACCGAAAATACTGTTTTGTTTGCTATGTGCATTTTAAGTAGAAATACTCAGAGGGAGAGATGGGCGGAGAAATCAAAATACAATTCGGCAGCAGGGTTTTGTTAAATCCCTCAACTCGTACTCGGGTACTCGTATACAACGTATATTCGTTATAAGTCAGGTAACACAGTAGAAGCTTGTATTTCAAATGAATTTTCTATTCGATTCTATGTACGTGCAAAATAATAATTGAGTTCATTAATTAACCAACAAAAATTAATTATTGAATATAGTTAGAATATTATTGTTGATTCTAGTTGAATTTAAGAAGCACACGAACAATAAAGGTAATCGAATTTCTATTTGATCAAGTAAAAATACAAAAAAAAAACATTTTTTTTGTTACAAAACTTGGTGAATCGCACAGTTCCGTAAACAGCGGTTTTCGTGCACCACCGGTGCAGTTCATCATGGTTTTTAAGGTATGGTTCGTGTAAATTTCTTCGCCAAGTTATTTGTTAAACATGTATCAATGCTTGGCATGCACAGTTGTACACACCAACTGCTCATTTGATAATAACTTTTCACATCAAACATTTGAATCAACACCAATGAATTTTTACACTCAAAGTCCGAGATGTACAGCGAGCATTATTCTCACTTAATTTTTACAACGCAAAAACAAATACAGTTTATTACTAGAATTAATACCAACAATCAATACGAAACTAACGATTTAAAATTGGCTTACTACTTAACTAGCCTATTGGTCCCAAGGAAACGATTAACGTACCCCATTCTAGTCGAAATTCTAGTACTACACTATGTTTGTTTTGATTCACTATGAAAGTTTGACAGATAAAATGAGGGGTTAGTGGATTTTCTTATGTTTCGAGGGGCGAATCGATTAGCTTTGGGCCGAAGAGAGTACCAGAGCTGAGTCAAAAAGTTGAGCACGTTTCTTCGGGACCTTCTAGTCTTAGAGTTATCTCTATGTTAATACCCCGTTCACATTACAGCCTATATCACGTAATATAGGCTGCCTTGCAATGAGCACTCATACATAGGATTTCCAGTCAAAACTAGATGTATGAGTGCTCATTGCAAGATACCGTATATCACGTGATATACGCTGTAATGTGAACGGGGTATAAAATCTATTTTGTTATGTATCTATAACAAGCGTAAACTCTATTATATCTACTGTTTCAAAAAGAACTATGTTTCCCTAGCAGCACACTTGTCCCTGAATAATTGTGGTTACTTGTGTACAACTTATTCCAGTCACTATCAAGTTGCAGTAACTTATTTCGATCGAAGTGTGCTGCATTCGTCAACTGTGTGCAAAGTTATTAACAAATGAGCAGTTCGTGATCAAAACGGTGTATGCCAAGCATGCATGTATCAGTTGAATAAACATCGGATTCATGAACAAAATATTGATTTCAGTGAACCGTGAAGAAATGCACGGAATTAGGTAGTGGGCAGAATTATGGCAGGTTAGGTATTTATAGTATGCGTTCGAAACTCAAACCATTCTAGACTACTCAAAATTACTTAATGGTAATGAACAAAGTTCGGAAGGACTTTCGACCATTTTAGGTTGGATTGTTCAATATTTAGCTTTATTTCTTGAAGAACTGCTCATGTTATAAAGAAGGAGCCAAATCTAAGTGTGAGAAATAGCATTCAACCACTTCAATAGCTTTTGTCTGGTTTGGAGTGTTCACTAGATGTTATCTATCAAATGACTCCTCATTGTATAAAGAAGTCGACACCAAAAGCGAGGTATAACAAGCAATCAAGTTAAATTACTCAATATTGTGCATTAAATGAATTTTGGACAAGCAAATTAATACAAATATCGATTACTTTTTCAAAGGGACGTATCTGCTTTTGCAAACAAAGATTCAAATGTCAATTTGTCGAAACTCTTAGCACACCCACTCAAACTAGCAACACTATCTTGTTGGGAAACATACCCTTTCAAATTTCGACAAATTGACGTTTGACTTTTCGTTTACAAAAGCAGATACGTTCCTTTGAAAAAGTAATCGAGATACCTCGAGTACTTCTTCGAAGAGACGTATTAGCTTTTGTAAACGATGCATGCTAAATTTTCCCCTTCCTGATAGTGGTGTTAGTATGCGTAGGCGACCTACCAGTTTCTTAAAATTGACAATCAAATGCATTGTTTACAAAAGCATATACCTCACTTCGAAAAAGGCATCGAGATATGTTCTTTCGTTTTTCCACACAAACCTTCATATTATCTAGAAAATTTAAATGACACTCGTAGTGGGGAACAGGATAGTAATCCGCCATACAAACTTGACCCACCCTAATGCACTGCAATGATTTCATACCAGTCAAGAATCAACTAAGCTCGATGATATCAGAAAATTTGTATCTACGCACGCTTTGTTCACACGCTCATAAATCACATGTACAAGTGTCCTAAGAACTTCGGTTGCATATCGTATTTTGAACCTCTTTGCAACAATTGGCAAACTACCCTTCTAAGCTGAAAATATAAACATCCGGTGAATGGAAAATTATGTTAAGCGTGTTCTTTAAACTAACGTCTAAATACTAGATCATCTTTATAGCTAGATTAGAACCACATTTCTTATAAACAAAACGTCTACTTACAGCTACGAGAATCCGTATATCCGCTTGGGCTGTGTTCAAGCCGAAGCTGAAAGAAAAAAATACAACGAATAACACACTTTGAATGGATTCGATTGCCATTGGATTTCACTTTAATGAATCATGTTTGCACTTCACTTACACGTTTCAGAAAATTCAGTAAGCCTTCCATTTTAGATTCACTACTCATATTCAAACGATATTGTATACTCCACTATCACTTTCTGTATGCATGCACTGGGATTATCCAAAGTCAGGCGGGCAGGCAGCGCACAAAGAGATTTTTGAATTTCTATTCAATTCTGCTTCCGATGCAGTCGTCGCTTCGGAACTAACTGATCGCTGATAGCCGGCAGACGTGCTCTGGGCCTCTCCGTTCGATGCTGAACCTGAACAAAGTGTGTCCATAGTTTACGACCGTTCGGTAGGGTAGCAGAAACTAATTAAACACAGGCACAAACAATTACAGTCCGATGATAACACTAAGGGATATAACTACTGTGATGCAATGGCGATCTAGTATGGTGAAAATTCACAGGGTGCAGTTAGGTAGATGCATCATTCTATATACTGTCAAACAAAAATCGTTTCTCCGGAGCCCGGCCTGATGTATGTGCTGGGTCTTATCACACTCTCACTGTACAATGTAGCGCAGTTGTTTGATGACTAATCGATGCAGTGCTTGCTGATTCGATTTGTTTATACGATCGTTTCGGTATGCAGATTGCAGATGATTTGTAGACTCAAGTCATGAGCGGACGCGTCTGCGCTAATATGGGTGAACAAGTGCAACAGTCATAATAAATACGGTCTGGTAAGGTACAAGTAGCAGTTAGGGTGATACAGGTATCGTTTGGATATCAATAATTTACCTGTCCTGAAACGCGGGGACGATGTGAGGTCGTTAAATATCAACAAAGTTTATCCGGCGATTCGTATGTTATGCAAGGACTCACGTGAAGCTCCAGATGATCTGTGCGTGAAACATCAAAGTACTGAAAATGGAAAGTCACACGTGGATTAAGACTCAGGACACCATCACTCAATTTGTAAGATTCTTATTTTAGGTAACATGCTTCAATCTGAGATATGACACAAACATCAATACGGCCAGGCCTACTGCGTTGCATTCGTCGCAAAGATAATTCTGTGAAATGATTCGAGTCTAAATAAATATATTTAAACAACGATGTATTTCATGAATCTTCAGGGGTGGCAGGATGCGTAGACGTACCGTACCAAACGCTCCGAGTTAGGTTAAGAGTGGATGTAGCAGTAACATGTGATGTAATGAATGGTATATAAAACATAGTATAATGGAAGGATCTCACCAAATGCCTCCAATGTTAACCGAATTCCCGATTTCCATTTGCCTTTTGTCAGCTGCAAGTTTCTGGTACTTGAAACACTTGAATGAAGTCCTTCCTCGACAACATGATCGCGCCAAATGATGGGACGATGAGGGTTTCCGGAACGAGTTGTGCGATATTGCAGAGACGTGGAGGTTTTAGGTCCTGCAGACCCTCGATGTACGTGCACTCGCTGAGATCAAAATGGATGGTCTTCTGTTGCTATTGTTTGACCATTTGCGCCAAGAATTGAGCTGCTCGTGAAAAATAACATCTTGAAGTTCGGTTTTGGTGGCGATCCAGAACCGGGCAATCGCATCCAGGTATGGTAGTTGTTGACCGGATCAGCACCCAAGTATAAATACTACATCGAACAACGCCATTTCATTCAAACAGAATCTCATATCATCACTGGAACATCGAATCACGAAGAATGTGCTCCAATTAAAAGACATAAATTATGGATTTTTAAATTTTTCAAAATTTTCAAACACGACAGAGAAAACAAACGTCACATCCGTACCGCTTCAATCATTTTTATACCTACACATAAATTAGCCAAACATTTTAAACAAGAATTTGTTACACTTTCCTATGCAAAATATTGTTCTACGAAGCATTTGCACATTTTGAGGCGAATTAAAATAATTCCACGCGGAATTCAATAGTTTTGGCCATTATTGCTCCCTGACGTGAGCTGTGGGGCAAGATGGCCAGCCTAAGGTTGAGCTTAAGTTTTGGCATTAATACAACTATTGTTTTGTTCAATATTGCTGCAGGGTTGTTGTTTGATATTATGTCTAGCTTCGTATGGTAACTTTAGTTCCAAAACGTAAACAAAACATTGAAAAACATAACATAACAAAAACGACTTTTTTGTTGAGTAAAATCACTCCGGGCAACATGAGCACCGCTGCGGGGCAAGAAGAGCACGTTATATATAGATATAGAAGGCTTTTTTTATTTAATTGTAGATTAACGTAGGTATTTTACAAAACACAGCAGACATTTTTCTTTAATAAAAAATAGTAATAGTGTTGGTAACGAGCAGCGAAAGTAGGTATTTATTATGGAAATCAAATCTGAATCCAACTTAGCAAATATTCAACATGAAGGACATTTTCCTTCTTCGCAAAGGTGATACCACTTATTGCAATTCGTATACATTTCTTCCAGTTTTCACCATCACTGCACATACTGAAATTGAGACCACATTTATCGCACAGCGTATCGTGGAATTCAGGTTCAGTTTTTGGTTTCTTCGGTTCGGTTTTTGGTTTAGATGATTTTCGTTTGATTTTGTTGAGTTCCTTGATATCTTTGGCAGCTTGTGACGACTTCAATGTGCATTGGAATATCGGATACATCGGATGCCGCAAAATCATCATTAGTGAAAATAAATCGATTCAGAGGTACTATTCCGGCCTTCCTAAAACCACAGACAAACAGACATAACACATTGAATATTTCTCACTGTAAAACATCGTCGCTAAAACATTACCGCCATCTGTTGAATACACTGTGGTGGGTAGTACGCTGAACAGATGGCGGTAGTGTGTAAACGTCAAACGCAAGGGAATTGACTATGCGCGCCACAGGTGGTGGTGCTACCAACTACGATACTTTTGAATGGACCGTTAAATGCTTGTTCGATGAACAACTTGCGAGAGTTATGTCTGTTTGTCTGTGCTAAAACCATTCATAGCGATGGCAGGTGTCGATGAATATAGAAACGCTTTACCAAGAAGACTACTTACATCGTTTATGGTCACTGCCTTTCCAGGATTTCTCTTTAGAAAAACCTCAATGGCCTTAGAATAATGAGTTTTCAATGAGCCCATATATCGAAAGGCTGAAGCCGATGGCTACAGTGCGGGGAGAAGGAAATAACAGTAATGTTACACTCTCTTGCCTTCTCAATGAACGCCAAGTTCTTAACATGAGAGCAGTGGCCATCCAGTAGCAGTAGAACCGGGCTTTCAGGTGTTGGTGGAGGGTGCTCCTTTCTTCAATTGTTCTGTCATTCGCATCAAAGTGACCGGTCGTCGACATACAAATAGCTGCCGTCGACAGAACACCTCTTTCCGATGATGTGATGCTACCAACTTGCCGTTTCCCTCAAAGTGCGATAATTTTACTTCTCTTTGTTTGAACCTGTAATTTAGTTTGTCATGTTAGTCATGTATGTAAAAAGGAACCATGAATTCAAATGATAATAATGCTTACTATTAGGACAGAGGTCTCATCAACATTGTATATTCGATTTTCCTTAAACTTCCCGGTACTGAGTGTTTCCTCCAAAATATCATAAAACTGGTTGACGGCCACTCGATTGAAACCCTGAGCTCAGGCCATCGATGTACCTTCAGGTGTTCGCAACGAAAGCTCTTTGTGCCTCTTCCGGAAGCTACTTAACCAATCCGGTCCGGCTAGTTCGGTTTGTTTATTAAACGGATGATGTATATGATTCCGCTCCGCCAGCTGGAATGCCAGGCTACGAAGCTCGGTAGACGTTACTCCGTAGAACGTTTCCTCCAGTTGTAGAACATGATAAACCAGCTCATCTTCCTGTTCCTTGGTGAATACTGTATCATACCGCCCCAAACCGTAATTATCCTTTTGCGTTCCCTAAAAAAAATAACCATAACCGAACGATAACCCAAATCATTGAACTATTCCACAAATGGTTTGGATGATACCCAGAACACGTCGTTAAGCAAATTAACCATACAATTTTTATTAAGGTTCCAGTCGTCTTCAGGAGGCGTGCAAAAGTTTGGCGCGGGATACCGTGGTTAACGGCCGATCTGTTTACCGAACATCCTAATGCCCTCACTTCCTCAATTGCCGCCCGAAGATTGACACAATTCCACCGTTTCCGTCCCGAAATACGTTTATAATTACGAACCATCTCAAAACGTGAAAGAATTCCGAAATCAAAACATTGCGTTTTGACGTTTGTTTTTGTTTTCTTAGAGATTATGAATTGAAACGTACGCTGGCAGTCTTGCCCCGCAAAATGGAGCTCATTTCGCCCCATCTGACTGGATTTGCTTTTATGCTTTAAATTTAGCTATACGTTTAGTGAAAAGTATACACTGTATGAGGATAAACTGTTTCTCGAAAAAATGATGTCAGTTAGTTGACAAAACAAGTTTGCTCTTACGGGGAGCTTATTTTCTGGATATGAAATATTATAAAAAATTCATCTACTTTCAGCGCCAGTTTTTTTTCAGGATATTTTGGTTGATATTTATGATATTTTGTTTCGAAAAGATGGCTAGTGCTCAATTGAACTCTTATTTATCATTAAACGTGTTTTTTAAGCATTTTCATAATGGTACAATTAAGTGGTGCTCATCTTGCCCCGGGTGGCGATCTTGCCCCGTCTACCCCTGGATGTATTTGACGAGGAATAAATATCAAAAACTGATTGGTGTGTGAAATTCGGATGAATATCATTTATTTTTTTATTGGGGAAAAGGAAGGTGCGTTTCCAATGGAAACTATATGCAAAATTTGTTTTGGTATACTGCCTATAATCCCATGAGTCCCATATGGAAAAAATAGGCATCGAGAAAATGGCAGTTGAAGTTTAGAAGTGCAATTTCCATGTAAATATTTAAAAAATCAAAGTAAATTAATCGATAATGTTGTCAAGTTAAATTCAGTACCAATGCAGCTTGCATGGTTTGTTATATCTGCGAAACTTATGGCGATTCAAAAAGCAAAACTGTAACGTAGCCTCTGGACGATTTAATTTCAGGATGGGACTGATATGCGATTACTTTGCTTGATTGAACAAACTAATTTGATGTTGTTTTCACATTTTTATTTATAAAAGTCGACAGTGTTATCACATAATATGAAAGTAGATGCCAATTGACAGTGGATAGCGTTGTGACATCTATGGACTATCATAATAATAACTATGTTATGCTTAGGGTAAAGGCAGTAGTCGTCATTTGCACGAACATACCGGCATGCCAAAACCAACGATTTTAATTTAATTCGCTGGCTTCTATAATATTCTGATTACTATCGGCAATGTATGT